TGGAAGACGGGAAATAAGTTTTTTTCTTGCATTCGAATTTTTGGACCTTGGTTGCATTAGAGTTAAATGTACTCCAGTGACCACCCTTTTGTCAGTAGTCAATGCCTCAAATGTGTTGAGTGTTGATCCAACCAGTTTTTGCCTGGAGGCTTTAACACATATCCAAGCTCTATCCTACTTACTGTGCTACAGCGCTCAGTAAGCAGACTAGCATTACTGATCTGCCATGCAAAGGCTGACTTAGCCAGTTAATCCAATCATATGTAAGCTTAAGGCTAAGGCTGATTAGCAGAGGACTCTTGTTGGGTCTGGCTGGAATAGGAACTGTTCATCCTAATTTAACTCTGTTTAGTCTGCAGCACAACTGAGAGCTTTGCAGAAGTTTGGTTTATAGGGAAATTGCCAAATACCAGTTCTTCAAAGCTGAAGAGTTCTCTAATTTAGACCTTCTATGACAGGCTCCATTGGGAAGACACAACAACGCTCTGAATGCATGGAAGTTATCCTGAGACAAAGATCAAATCTATCATGAGGCCAACACCAAAACTGGTCTCAAATCAGTGCAAACTCTCAAGAGCACCAACTGCAGCACCAATTGAAGAATGTTTTAGCATGACTGCATGATTTAAAATGTTTGTTTTAGCATAACTGTCATAATTTCTTTTCACACATCATGATTATACTGTATTCCACAACAGTATCTGAAATTCTAAGCATTCATACTGTAATGGAAATGGTTTTGGTGTGTGCTACCATCATGTTATGTACAAGGAAAAAATTTCTGATCCAAATCATTTTGTGTTCTCCAGAGTGTAGAGTCATTTATCAATGGTTTAGGTTTGACTGTGGAACCACTCCATTTAGAGATTAAAATATCTGCCTGAATGGTTGGGTTTGAACATAATTTCTTCAATGTTTTTTGGGATCTGACAGAATTGTTGTGGGCTACAGTTGGGTTCTGTCAGAATTGTTGTGGGCTACAGTTGTGTTCTGTCAGAATTTTTGTGGGCTACAGTTGGGCTCTGTCAGAATTTTTGTGGGCTACAGTTGGGTTCTGTCAGAATTTTTGTGGGCTACAGTTGGGCTCTGTCAGAATTTTTGTGGGCTACAGTTGGGTTCTGTCAGAATTTTTGTGGGCTACAGTTGGGTTCTGCCAGAATTTTTGTGGGCTACAGTTGGGTTCTGTCAGAATTTTTGTGGGCTACAGTTGTGTTCTGTCAGAATTTTTGTGGGCTACAGTTGGGTTCTGTCAGAATTTTTGTGGGCTACAGTTGGGTTCTGTCAGAATTTTTGTGGGCTACAGCTGGGTTCTGTCAGAATTTTTGTGGGCTAGAGTTGGGCTCTGTCAGAATTTTTGTGGGCTACAGTTGTGTTCTGTCAGAATTTTTGTGGGCTACAGTTGGGTTCTGTCAGAATTTTTGTGGGCTACAGTTGTGTTCTGTCAGAATTTTTGTGGGCTACAGTTGGGTTCTGTCAGAATTTTTGTGGGCTACAGTTGTGTTCTGTCAGAATTTTTGTGGGCTACAGCTGGGTTCTGCCAGAATTTTTGTGGGCTACAGTTGTGTTCTGCCAGAATTTTTCGGGGCTACAGTTGGGTTTTGTCAGAATTTTTGTGGGCTACAATTGGGTTCTGTCAGAATTTTTGTGGGCTAGAGTTGGGTTCTGCCAGAGTTTTGGTGGGCTACAGTTGGGTTTTGCCTGAATTTTTTTGGGCTAGAGTTGGATTCTGCCAAAATTTTGATGGGCTACAGCTGGGTTCTGCTAGAATTTTTTGGGCTACAGTTGAGTTCTGCCAGAACTTTTGTGGGCCACAGTTGGGTTCTTCCAGAATTTTGTAGAGCTACAGTCATGTTTTGCTAGAATTCTGTTGGGCTACAGTCTAGTTTAGACTGAACTTTACTGGGCTACAGTCGGGGTTAGACAGAATTTTGACAGGCTACACTCGGGTTCAGACTATAATTTTTGTTGTGTTTAGGTACATGATTAAACTTTCTACATTCAGGTTTGGACTCAAGTTCCAGGTCTGATTAAAGCTCTAATCCCGTGCTCCTTTATCTACCTGTTGACTGTCTAAGTTCTTGCACTTCCATCACAGTAGTTCTCATGCAGAGGGCCCTCAAGCCAGACCAGTGAGAGGTTGCATACAAAGTGAATGGCTACAGCCTGAAGGAGTCTTGAACAGAGGCTGAACAACCATTAATGCTTCTATTAAATCATTCGCAGCCTTCCTCACACACACACCCACTGTACGGGCGCACAGGGAAAATGTATGCTAATGCAGCCGAGGCGCGCGGCAAAGTGCGAGGCGCGCGGCAAAGTGCCGCAGCGATTTGAAAGGAAATGGGCTCGAATGAGAGCGCCCAAGGGGACTAAGCCACGGAGTTCAGTACTGAAAAATGTAGCCCATTTTGGTTAAATAGCCCTTTCTCTTGAAAATACTTTCAGAGGGTATGGGGTGGACAGGGATGTGAAGGTGAGACACTTCATTTTGGGGACTGCAGCAAGACAAGACAGCATGACGCAGTGTGAAGTAGATGCTCTTGTAAGCACAGAACATCCTAGTTGAACATGTTTTGCTTTGATACACATATCCCTACATGGAATTGTTGGGCTACAGTTGGGTTCTGCCAGAATTTTGTTTGGCTACAGCTGGGTTATGTAGCCCAACAAATGACCTGCATAGACTACAAAATGCACAGTGATATGCTATTGGACCATTGGCCATATTGGGATAGTTCAGCTCCACATGTACAAACCTACTCCGGGTGATTTGGAGAATCAGGCAGAAGTTATGCCACCGTAGGTGACACTTGGTTTTTGCATGTTAGGTTGCTCAGACTCAAAGAAAGAGAGACCGTGGGAACAGCTTTGATTAAACTGGAAGGAACAAATGACATCAGCCTGGTGATTGGCAAGGATTAAGCTTGCTTAAGATAAGACTGCTCAGTTGATGTCAAAAGTAAACATAGATGTTCTCCAATTATTCATAGGGGCCTACTTTGTACATATAATTTGTCTCACAAGACCAACACTAACCTATTTAAAAGCAATCACAGCTTTAACTTCCCTGGGGCTTTAACACTGAAACCCAATTCAGAACAATTTTGGCTTTCTGTGGAACTTTTGTGTGTGAAAATCAAATGTAATGATGACGACTGTTTTTGATGAACAAATCTTATTCTTTCTCCCTCTCTCTCTGTCTCTCTCTATGTATATATGCATGTAGGTACTTAGTAACAGCTGCCACAGGAGCAGGAGGCAATGCAACTTACAAACACTTTTTCTCGCCAGCTTATTATATTCTTGTTTTAGGACTTTTCACCCACTCATCCTTGAGAATACTAGGCCGTCTTGCACACACAGCATGTTTAAGATCTACCCACAGATTTTCAATGATGTTCAAGGGGACCCTGAGGGCCATTCCAAAAGCTTCAGCTTGCATTTCTTAAAGTGGTTCGTGGTGGATTTTCAGATATGTTTTAGATCACTAAGGTCACTGTCTAAGGTTAGATTATTGTCTAATCAGCACCTGCAAGACTCGTTCTGAAGACTCTTCTATGCTGCGCAGTACAATGATACACCACCACTCCTGCATCAGCTAAACTTTCCTGCAGGTTCTTTGCTGTCATTTGGGGGTTTTGCTTTGCCTTTCTGGTCAGCATATGAGCAGTTCTATTTCAGACTTTTCTTCACCTTGACTTCCACATTTTCCCTTAACTGCCATTTCTAATTAGCTAGATATACAGATCCTCAGCCAGCCGCTTGAAATGAAACTTCTTGACCTGCCTAACTAAAGGCTAAAGAGTTCATTAATTTCCAAGACTTTACAGAATAGTGTCCAAACTTTTGCACAATATTATCACAATATATTTAAGTCAACCAAATATAAGGTAACTGTGCTTTAGGATTTTATTTTTTAATAGTATTTTTTAAATGGTTTTCCACAAAGGTTGTGTTTACTACTTTGGACTGAAACATTTTATTTGGCCAGAGATGCAGGTATTAATTATATACTCAACTGAGAGTCATTTATTAGCATGACTTAACCAAATTGTAAATACAATTGCCATGTTTTTATCATCAAATTGACTTTATCGTTCAAATTATGTTCTTTTTAATCTACTAAGCTTCTGTTTCATTCACTTCAGCACTGTTTGTAGCTAAACAGGACCCAGAGTGTGGACTTTGATAAGAATCTGGAGTCTAGTGCTTGAAGTACTTAGTGAGAGCCTCTATTATGTTTCTGCTTTGACCCTTTACAGACTGCTATCTGTTCTCACTGGGGCACAGCTGAGCTTTACTGTGTGCATGTATGCATGCGTGTTCCTGGTGAGGGTTGATTGAGGCACTTAAGCAGCGGGCGCGGAGCCAGGAGAGAGCGTTCTCGGGCTTCCTGTCCGGATCCAGCTCCCATGGGAGAGGATCAGGTGAATGGCCGTGGATGGGCAAGGCTCTTGGACGACAAACACTCCAGATTTAATTAGGGGGTTGAAAGAGGATTAGCGTTGGGGTTGGGGGAGTGGGGGTGGGGTGGAGTGAGGGCTTCTCCCTCAGATTCCTTTTGTGTGTTGACAGTTATAAGAACACTTGTACAGATACAGTCATTATGGTCATGGAATAGAACACAAAATGTGGCCTGGGCACATTTTATATGTATATATGCTTAGACAGTGTCCTATAAAAAGCTTTACCTGTAAAATTACCCATAAAAAGAGAAATTCTGAAAGTGTGGATTCTAAAATTACACATTTCATTCTTATAAACACTGAAATAAACAGAAAAAAGCAGAAGTGTGGACTTTTTGTGTAATACCATCTAAACAGCATAACAAAAAACGGCAAAAACTTCTAAGAGTCAAGGCTAAATTTGGGTTTAGTGGCCAGAGTTTTTCTCTGAAATAATCTGCTAGTTGTCATTTCTACATATTCTTTGCAAGAATGGCTTAAACATACATGTTGTTGGGACAGAAATGTCACAGACAGACAGATACACACTCATACCTGTTTGTATACTGTCGATCAATGTCTTCATATCTTGGAGCAGCACGGGACTCAGGGCCTCTTATCTGTACGGAGAAAAATATTGGTCAGCAATGGCGTGCTACAATAACCAGAGTGGCATAGGCTACCACTATAAGCACACACAGTTATACCAAAACAGTCAGAGAGAGAAAGAGGAAAAGCCAAAGAGATTATGCTTGGTCATCCCTAACTCATTACCCTGAGACTTCTCTCAAATCCTGAAACTGTTTCACTTCACTTTCTAAAGCCCACATCAGCCATTTTAGTTCTGAGTTGTGTCAAATGGAGCGTCTTGCTACATTTGGCAAGCATAAGGTTACATTTCTCCCAAATCTAATTATAGCCTGCTTTAGACAGAGCATAGCATCCACTGCTAAGGAAGAAACCTAAGAACAGACTGTAAAGGCAAATATAAGAAGCGCATGGTGGACCATTCACTATCCAGCCAAAAGTGTCTGCAGTAAGAAACTGACCTTTAATTGCATCAGCACAATACAGTTTTACTCCAATGTGGCACAGTTCATAAACCACATTACTCATATCTAATTAAGACTTGGATTTGTTAATAAAGTTGGCATCTTTGACTGTATAGCATGTTGGATAGCATAGTGGATAACACTGTTGCCACATGAAAGACTGAAGGCTTGATTCCTCATCCAGGCAGGAATACCACTGCTATACCAATAAAATCCTTGTGCTAGACGCCTAATGCAAGATTAACAGTCCTTCAACAAGACCCATAGTGTTTCATTTACCTACCATTGTAAGCTGCTCTGGACAAGAACATTGGCTAGATACATAAAAGCAAAGGGAGTGGTTATATGGTGAATGCATCGCAATTGGATACACAAAGCCTTACAAGATTTACCAGCTTTTCGTAGCTACTGCCACTTATAGGTTTGACTGAACTCCAAGCAATGCAATAAATATTGATGCAAGGGTTAAAAATATTGATGCAAGAGTACTGAGCACATGCCTAATACAGTATCTACAGAGTAAAATCAACAGCAATGACAAACATGATACATGTATATTCACCAGCATGATCCATCTTTGTAGAATATCCTCGCATCCCTGACACCTCGGGATACTTCATAAACACAGCCCTGTAAAAGCAGCGGGACTGAGGGCAGCGTCTGACAGCCGAAGGTCAGAAACATTAGGTGGAGAAAAGCGTCACATCGGGGCAGGATAAGGGGAGGAAAAACGGTGGCATTTGTCTCAATGAGCTCGTCCCATGTGTGTAATAGCGGCCCACCTGAAACCCTGAGCACCGCACCTGCATGCTAAGTGTGATCTTTAAACACAAAGGTGTCTCGCAGGGATCGAATATCGTAGGGAGCGAGAGAGAAAGGGAGAGAGGGTGAGAGGGAGAGAGAACGAGTGTATGCTGCAAAGGTCATGTTCGGAAGCGGGGGGGGATGCGATCGTGACTGTGATAGACTGCTTCATATTTAGAGTGATGGACGAGGCCATCTCTCTCTCTCTATTCTTTTTCTCCATTTTGCTCCCCGCAGCCTATCAGTCGCTCTTTTATTGCCAGTGATATTTGGCCACATGGAGAAAAACAGAAGCCCCTCAACCCCTCCTCTCCCCTTGCTTTATGAGGAGGCTGCAGACAAATAGAGCAACTCATTGTTTCTGAACTGCTGCTTTGACACACTGCAGGCTTCGCGTAACCATCACAAGTATTGCCGCTCGGCCCCGTGTGCTTTCATTCTTGCTTAGTATTAGTGACCACTCCAGTCTTATTCCCATGGTTATACGCTCACCGGCCACTTTAATAGAACCCCCTACTTTACCTTGTTGGACCACCTTGCTCGTGTACAGTTTTTGTTTATGAAATATGTAGGGAAGCAAAGAGAATGGAGATCTTTTGATTTTCCATAATATATGCTGATTTTATTCTCCAGATACTCTATTAAGCTTCTTGAACATTAATGAACCTTAATATAGAAGTAAGGATTCATTTTAATTACAGATAGTTAACGGTAAACATCACCACTTCATTAGAAGCCACTTTATTCAAAACCCCTTGTAGATCCACCTTGCTGGTGTAAGAGTTAGAGACTAGAGCTCATCTGTTTCATTCTTTAGCCATTCATCAATGGTCAGTTTTTGACCATAGATCTGCTCTTTGATGGATATTTTTGGGTGATCGAAAGCTCTGTACCTAGCAGTGACACTGATGTCTAAAACACCCATTTCCAACACACTACCATATCAGTCTCACTGCTGTGCTGATAATGTACCACCATCAAAACAATATCCAGTCGCCAGTGTTGCAAGAAATGCAGAAGACGTTCATTTCCCTGCTCGGGCAAGAAAACCACACTACACCAAGAAGAGACCATGGGAAAGCCTCCTAACACTATCCATGTGGCAGACTAGGGTTTGACTCCCCGCTCGGGCAAGAACACCACACTACACCCAAAAGAGACCTTGGGCAAGATTCCTAACACTTTCCATGCAGCAGACTAAGCATACTATACCAATAAGAATCCTTGGGCAAGACTCATATTGCTATCCACACAGCAGACTAGGGTTCAATTCCCTGCTTGGATAACAACACCACACTATACCAGTATAAGTCTTTGGACAAGACATTTGCCTATTTCTGGATATCTGCTAAATGCATAAATATGGTGGAGCTATAAGGTGGAGCTCATGGCTGGTGCTTGCAAACACAAAGTAGTGTTTCTAAAGTGGACAGTGTATTGGTTCCTTTCTTAATTTAGGTACATTAAATGTTATTTAGTTTGGTAGTCATCAAAACCGCATTCATCACAAGTAACATATCCCTTATTGCTTAGCTTGGCACTTCTATAATGAGGCTCCACTAGAGCAGTAGAGCATCTGAGGGTGCCCTGAAGAACATTGCCCAAGAGATTCATTGTGTATTTAAGTGGTGTGGTACCAACAGATCAACGGCATCTAAAGATTCTTGGTGATTCTTTGTTAAAATCTGATCACCAAACTTATTAATGCCATCAATTTTCCTAGCAGATTTTTGAGAGCAGAGGTAAGTTATGAGTGGATAAAATAAGTCTTAATAAAGTTATTTTTTATACACAAGTGCTCACTGAGATTTGACTTATTTGAACATCTGCCTTATCATTATAATTACAGTTCATACTTTGGAACCCAAGCTTACTTAAGCATCAGTAAATAAATCATGAATCAAACAGTAATGCATGCTACTTTCTCTAGTTCCTCTCATCTAGGGACTGTTAGGGAGGAGTGTCTGGATCATCTAATCAGTCAGCTTGCACCCTAAGCCTTTCTTTGAATTACTACAGTGATAGATCTTTACAAGGCAATTAGAATTGTAAATCGCTAGTGACTTGACCGGCATGTAGGGCATGGGTCTGAAGACTCTGCCTTAGGGGGCCCTGCAGTCTAGGCTAGAGAGCAGAATCGACACAACACGGTAAACCCTGATAAACCTCGCCAAAGGGGAAGCCTCGCCAAAGAGCTCAGCTCAGAAGCCATGGCAAGGGTGCAGGCGAAAACAACCTGAGTTTACAGTGGTGAAGGCATGCTAATCACTAATTTGTGAACAAAAATATTTATATAAAAGGAAGCAATCAATACCACTGACAGGACATGTTGTCCATAACAGAAAAACCACCCCTACCCTCATTATAAAACAACTGTTGAGGTGGAGAAAAAAAATAATAATTAATCAGCTAAAAAGAAGATTCCAGCAATGTTTGGGCCCCTCATACATAAGCAAATGATGATAATAAAATATGCTGATGGTAATAATAAGAAGAAGAATATAGTATAGAATGCAGTAACTAAGATTATTTTTCAATATTACTGATGTCAACATAGGCCAGATATGTTGGATGCTGAGAGTTGTGCATGATGACAAATTGTGCACATTATGACAATTTTGAATACTCAATACAGCGTTGAAGAGATTTTTCCAGAGAACTCTTGTTTCACACCTAATAAATCCTATCTGCACGTTAAGCATGCAGCTATAATTCTCAACGTAGGTATAAACCTAGCCCTGTAAAGGCTGAAATAATGGTCAGAGAAGTCGGGTCGGATTTCAGGGGAGTTAACTGGACCATGTCGTACATCTCTATGTACATCATCACACGCACATGCTCAAAAAGAAGGTCTGACTTGATGATTCGTTCTCAATGCAAAACCATTATACTGATGAAGATATGATGGCAAATAGTAAGATAATTCACTCACATCCTCAGAAGACACATCATTCACCAAGTTTTGACTGAGTTCTCTTTGAATTTTCTTTCAATGCGTTCTTAATCATCAGATTCATCCACCTCAGGGAAGGAGTCCAAAGCCCAATCGTTGTTACAAAATGTTTTTTCTGCAGATGGCATGTAATTACACATTTGCACCAGAGAGGTGCAAATCCTATAAACTTACATAGTCTAGTTTTAAGTAAAAACCTTGTTTGGCTTCAAAAACAGCATTCTGCCTTCCTAAGAGTGGTAAACTACACTCATGGACACTAGCCAAATATTCAGTGTCCAAAAATTATTTTCATATTGTTCTGGGGACATTTAGACCAGACAAAGGAGTGTAAAGCAGTGCACACAAACACACACACGCACACATGCACAAACCATTACAGCTAAACACACACATCTGTCATGCATATGTATGTGGAAGATTGGATCGATAGTATTTATGCCAAGCTAGACACTCAATAAACAGACACACACACACACACACACACACACACACACAGAATACAATGTCACTAGGACTCAGTGATCCGAAAGCTCCCCCCTGAAGCATTTAGCCCATAGTTCAGCAATGATTCACCCTGCAAAGAGCCAGTGATTCATCTGTTTCAAGCTGAGCCATCAAGTTCCACTACAGTGATTCATTCACCTGAACACATATTCAAATCTCACTCCAAACGAAACTGGACCGTTAGAAAGTACACAAACAGTGTCCACTTCATTACAAACACCTACCTTGTACTTTCAGATACTGGCCACTTTATTAGAAACACCAACTTGTGCTTCCTCTCTCTGGCCATTTTATTAGAAACATC